GGTAAATCGAATAATCATTGTTTCACTACTTACCCATCGCTGTCCGGATCGGAGGCAAAGCGCTCTAAGCTGTCATCAGTCGTCTAACGATATCTCTTTTCGAGCCCACGGCAGCTAGCACTGCCCCGACACCTCCACTAAACTTTTTGCCCGCGCTCGATGCCTTCGCCGTCTCCACATTTTCTACCCTCGGCAAGGCATCACTACTGAGCTCCACTACTTCTTCTATCTCCCCCATCGACTTTTCATCCTCTAATACTTGGATTACCAAGGCTTTCTGCTTTTTCCATCTCCGGTTGGCGATCGGTTCTTCACTGTCCACTTTCTTGGACTGAGCCTCTGTCGATGCCCTTCTACCTCTTGGCTCGACGGGTGTAACGGATACATACGCCTCGGGCACAGCATTATACGTTACATCGCGCATTTTTGCAGCTAAGGGAGCCATTATCGATCTATGGCCTCTCACTCTTGGCCTGGGCATGCGTAGGGACACATCATCCTTGTATATAGGCATGAGAGCAAAAGGATGAGGAGTCTGCAGGCAAAACCTCCTGAAGGCCCCCACGTAATCTACCCAAAATCGCCTGTATTTTCCTGTTATGTCCCCATGGCGATTTCACGAAGGAATCACGATACTGCCATTTTCTTCCTCGGATAGGTCATATAGTACACTATATCGGAATAAGACTTCATCAAATTCATCATATCTTTCTTCCAAGCCACAGTCGCTTGGAACACCTTGATCATAGCCAAATTGCCTGGGTACCCACCTTGGGTTGTACACTTTACTCACATCGCCCAGCTCAAATCGCCGGGCAGATGTCCTGGCAGCACCACCAAGGCAAAAGTTTGCTCATCTGCATCCCCCATTTCTTGCCTTAGCGTGAACACTCTCGCATCTTCCCAATAGATCCCCATGTCTGCCACCCCTGCTATCTCCTCTTGATAGGGTCTGAACACAAACTCTCGCTAGGAGTCTATCACTTCCCCAAGTGCCCGCCTGCACATCTGCCCTGACCAACGTCTTCCTTGTGCCCCATGGTCGCTCAACTTCAAGGGTAAAGGGCCATACGCGGGGAATCTCTCGTACAAGAACATCTGTAAAAACCCACTTGCTATATAGGACACCATGGGGTAGCGACCAGTCGAGCGCATGTTATGCTCGGCAATCATATCCAATCGATGGTACAATGTCCCCAAGAATAACAGCCACAGTGGGATCATAATCCCACTTGCTATCTTCACCGCTATCAGGCACCAACGACTCAAGGGTGCATCGTCTGGGTCCCTGGGAATATATATTTGGACAACCAGCACAGTACATATGCTGTGAGTTCTGCAGGATGTCCAATCTTGTCTCCATCAACAAAGGGACGCTTTAACTTGTCCCCCTTGAAGGAAGGCTGCAGGTCCTTGAACCAGTAGCGTATCCAGGCTCCTGTTGTACATTTTCTGGCTCCTTCCGCTCTCTCTTCGCGTCTAGCCCCCTTCGCATTAAAAAAGGATCCATAATTCTTGGTCTTCTCCAACCCTTCCTCAAATGCAGCCATGATACCCTTCTCCGCTTCATCCATTGTCAGGGGCACGGTAAATCCTCTACCCATGACATGGAGGCCAAGTAATTTGGTCACGTTTTCCAATGTGGGTGTAAACTCTCCCCTCTTCGCCACAAACATGTGGGTTACACTACACCATCTTGACACTAGCAATTCTAATCCTGGGGTATCGCGAGGCACTTTGAATTTGCGGGACAGACGTATGGCTCGCGCAACTCGTGCTTGTCGCAGCTATAGCATATACATTTTGTGGCTGAAGATGTACTCAGACCACTCCTCCCATCCTGCACATGGGCCCACTGGTGTTTTGAACTCCATAAAACAAAAGGGATACATCCCTTATTCAATGGCAAATCAGTGCACAGAGTCCGCTGCCGGCCGAGTTCTTGCTTCCACGGCAACCTCGCATTCCATTAACTGGGCCACATCACTGTCAATCTCGTCACTGGCTATGTCTCCTTTAGCTGTCCAGAACCTATCCATGGGTCCAAAGACCGGAGCCCTCTTCCATTCCTCCTCCGGCGATACTTCCGGCACTGGTTCACCGGGTTTGCTCAACTGCTTTCTCTTTGTCATTTTATCGAATATCTTACCCGCTCTTACATACAGTAATAGCGTTGTTGCCCTCACACACTCGTTTGTTTAACACAATACGCTAACTCCACTTTGCTTCTTAGCCTGACACTGTATTTCTCTTTTTCTTTTCTTTCTGTAATGGCTTCCTCTTTCTTTAACCTGGTTCTATATATATACCACGGTTAAAGCTTTGGAGAAGACAACAACACCGAACAGTTGTGTCTCATCACCTCCCCATTAAATAAGTAACTGTCAGTAACTGAAAAGACATTGGTTTCCAAAGCAAGACATTATTACGTTTTCTATGCACGCGCCGCTTTATCCTTTTATTTCAAAATTCAAAAATGCCACGTGCAGGGGGACTAAATGTGGACGTGGTCCAGCCAAGTCACCAAGGGCCAAGTCAAACAGTCAACACTTTGACAAAGTCCACCTCAGCAAGGCATGTGATAGTCGATCACTGGGCCTTAATCTTAGCCCTACATTCAGTCGATGGGCCTTGAACCTCAATCTGATAGTCACAAATCATCGATCAAAACCTTGATCCAAGTCATAAATTGTCGATCTGACCTTTTGATAATTTGTCGGTCAATTGGCCTTAAACCTCGATCTGTCAATCACAAATCATCGATCAACGGACCTTGAATCTTGATCTAAGTCACAAGTTGTCAATCGACAAGCCTTGAACCTCGATCTGACCCTTTCACAATCTGTCGATCGACGGGCCTTAAACCTCGATCTGACCCTTTCACAATCTGTCGATCGACGGACCTTGAACCTCGATCTGACCCTTTCACAATATGTCGATCGACGGGCCTAGAACCTCAATCTGACCTTTTTTTACAATCTGTCGATCGACGGGCCTTGAACCTCAATCTGACACTGCCGTGAACCATCAATCGGTGGGCGTCGAACCTCGATCCAAGCAACGAAGAGTTATGGTAGGGCTCTTCAAGCGACATTGGGACGCAGAAGGGATTTTGGAATGGAGGATGGAAAATTAGTAATGTCTTGCCCACTAAGGCAAGACCCAGTCTAAGGATAAGAACAAAAGACAGCTGGAATAGTACAATTGCCTTTACAGCCTGCCATTTTTTGATTATTCACCAGGAAAGGTACACTTGGCAGTAGATCCAAAAATGTAGGGATTAGGGCAACATGACCCAAGAAGGGAATGACCCTGACCCATTCTCAACATGGAGGCCCAACAATGTACCACCTGGATGACCTAGGCCTATAAAAAGAAGGTAATGACGAAAAAGGAAGGCAGGAACTAACGGCAGCTTCTTCCCTACCATTGCTCCAATTCTCTGATTGGACTGGTTTTCTCTCCCTTCTTTCACCTTTCTGCATTCCTCACATTGCTTAGTGATATATTCCCAGACCTCTTTTCTTTGACTATTCAACCGACGAGAATCAGGTATCTACAACAAGTTTTGAGATATCGTTAAATGTACTTCTTTGAGAGGTCAACGAAGAAGGAGATGAAAATACAGACCAAATGAATATAAAACACAGATCAGTAGAAAGAGAGAGGAGAGGGAAAAAGAGGGATTTCAGAATCCCCTTCACAGAAGAAACCAAAACAAAAAAAAAAGTTGCTTACTTGACTGCCAGTGTATTCTGTCAAACGGCCAAAATCTTCGGCCCATCTATCACGACCCCATAACATAAGCCTTGGCTGCCATGCACATTAACGTAATCGGCCCATTTTAATGTGGGCCCATAGCGATTCGTTCTGTGAAGACAAGAGAAGTCAAAGGGCTTTAGCTGGAAGCCTGCAACTGATATAAATATATTGAACTTAGGGCCTTAGGCAGATCTTCACATTAACTCTCAAGTCTCGCTCAATAGAGGAGGTACACAACAGGTTTTGGTAATGCCCTAAAACTCATTCTTATTTGGTGATTTTTTTATGATTAAATAAATTCCATTACTGATTTTGGGGCATGCTTGAAGTATTTATACTGATTTTGGGGCATGCTTGAAGTATTTATTGAGATTAACGTGTGTGTTGATGTGTGTAAGGGTTTGGCGTACATAGATTCATACATATAAATATAATGTCTTGCTCATCAGCCAAAAAAATATATATAATAATGTATTCACGGTTGTTGTGGATAAAATTTCTTGTTAAGCAAGAGATCATTTATGATATATATGTATACACACAAAATATTTGGGATTATTCTTTAGCAGGTTAACATATTTGTTAATCTAATATGGTAATCAGAGCTTGGTATGTAGGATGAAAAGTGTTAGAGCTTGATATAAATTGTTGGAACTGTTCTTAATTGTTTAAAGCTTTTGAGGCAACGGCTAATCTGACAATATATAAAGAAAAATTATGTTAATGTGATTTTATTTGCATGTTGGCTTCTGATATAGAGCTAGCCACACACATAAAACAAGAACTTTAATATTAACTCCTCTGCATCTCCTAGAACTTTAATGGTAATGTGAGACTACGTAGTTCCTTTACAGTTTTGAATTTTTGTTCGTGTTGAAAATGCTCTTACAGTTTTGAATTTTTGTTTGTGATGAAAATGCTCTTCTGTGTTCAACTACTGGCAATCTTTCATTTTGTATTCATGTTAAATAGCATGTAATTATGTCAAGTTATCTACATTTTTCATACTTTGGTATCGCTTGTTTATTAGTTCTTTGAAGTCTTCTGGAACTTTGTTTTCTTTCTTGATTCTTCTTCATCTCAAAATTTTAAAATCTTCTGCTGCTAATGATAAACCATAAATTGTTATTATATTGTTATTACATTCTTATCGTATGATATTGATATATATGATCCAGGAAAAAACAAATAAAAATTCAGAAAAACAAAAAACGGAAGAGAATATACGAAATCACAACTAACAAATTAAAACTTTGTATTAATAAGGACCAATGGAGCTTACATTTACAACCTCAAAACTCGTGAATACATCTCCAAGATCTGGTTGGTGGTGAACATCCACCTTGTTTAACCCAAAAGTACAGTTTTAATCCTAAATACTAGTCCATATATATACTACAATTTGTCTCCATTCCTAAATCTTGGATGGATTCATATATATATAGATATATATTTACAAGAGTCAATTTCACTATAAGATTTCTTCTACCTCATCTGGAAGTTGAGAGTTTTAATGCAGTAGGTATAGATGAATGCAAAGAAGACTGTGAAAGCACACAAAACTGCAGCAATTGGCCCCATGAAATTCGGGTCATATCCGAAATGGTTTTCCACATACCATTTAACGGTTGGGTCGGTCTCCATCCCTGGCACTTTTAGGGTATCCTCTACATCTCCATACTGTGACACAATCAATCCATAAACAGTCCATGCCACCGGGCAAATCCAGTAATACCATATCCACCACTTGGGAATTTTCTGAATTTTCAAGAAAGAGTAAAAATCAGCATCTTGTTAAAATACAAGTTTATTGAAAGCCTTAATCAAAAGCCTGAAAATGAAATAGACTTACCGGTTTAGGGATGAAGAAACCGGAGAAAAGATTGAAGAGTGAATAGAAAGCGGCTGCAAAGATGGCTGCTATTTGGTGGTTCGGTGTGATGGAAACAGTCATCATTCCATAGTATGTGAAGTAGAGAAAGGAGAAGAAGTTGACAAAGAAGAACCAGAAGAATTTATGTGCTGTCCATTCAAAGCTCACCATGGCATACACTATAAGGCTATAAGACGTGGTCTGAATGAACACATATGGTATTTCAGTGAAAACCTACATTTTAAATAACCAAAAAAATTGTTAATAAGACTGTAAAAAGTTGTTGCCGTATGTTATAGATGATGAACAAGCATATAATGATCCATATCATTTAAATAAACACGTCCCTCACCTGTGCCATGGAATATGGTAATGCAGAGTACATCCCAGCAGCTCTTTCTCGATAAAATACTGTTCTTTCGATGGCTACTATTGGCTGCACTGTTGCGCAATTGTTAATTCCAACGAACAGGACAGCAGCATACATGGCCCCGATAATCATGGACAGATCAGATGCGTTCTCCCTAAACCACAGAAAATTGAAATAAGGAATTTTAACTTGCCTTTTGATTCAAATATTAGAAATGGATTGAAAGATAAGAGTTAGAATTATATAAAAGCTAGAATAGGCAGGCACAGACCTTTTAGTGCCAATCTGCCAGAAAATTGTGCCAACCACGAGAGCTGTAGCCAAGGTGAAGAAATATCTAACAAGATTATAGTCCGGACTTCTCCAATAAGTCCACCACTGCTTCCATAGGCAAGATTTGAATTGTCCCCATGTTGACTGAGAATACTTTGTATGGAAGTATACATCTTTTGCCCCTGGTGGAGGTGCGCTTAGCTCCTTCACTAGAGCCTTGTTTCGTCTGCTCGTAGCCACATATGTCAGCTCAAAACCCATAAATCTTTAACACCCTGTAAGCATTCACTATTTTTGAAAATTAAATTTCACTTACTGGTGCAGTGCTGATGATCGGTACTGTTCAGCAAAATCAATATCAAGCCGAGCTTCTGCTGCAACCGAACTTGCTTCTAGCATCCATGTTGCAGGATTGTATTTTTCTTTAATTTTTGGGACCCCGGGAATCGCCTGAAATAAGTATGAACTTTGAGATTTGATGACTTGTGGTTGGTTCTTCTTATGAGTGAAAAAGGTTTAGAAAATTTAATACCTCAAAATATTCAATAATTTTGTGAGAATTCCGGCCCAATTGTCCTGCGTATATCACTTGTCCTCCTCTTTTCATTAATAGCAACTGATGCACAATATGATATATGAATCAGAGGAAGAGAGAGAGAGAGATAGACAGATAGGATATAGACAGACATTTCTATATATATTACCTCGTCAAATGCTTCAAAGATATCAATGCTAGGCTGATGAATTGTGCAAACAACAGTTCTTCCTGTGTCTACTGTGTTTCTCACCGTCCTCATAACAATGGCTGCTGCTCTTGCATCAAGTCCGGAAGTTGGTTCATCCATGAATATGATTGAAGGATTAGCAACAAGTTCTACTGCTATTGTCAATCTCTTTCTCTGTTCTGTTGATAAACCTGTAACTCCTGGAAGCCCAACAATAGCATCCTTGAGATTGTCTAGCTCAACTAGCTCCATCACTTCATCTACAAAAACCTGAAGAGAGAACAAAAAGAAAAAAAAAAAATTAAAAATTGTTTTAGTTCTTAAGATTGAGCTCCATATATTTAGGAAAAAATAAGAATGTTAAGTAACCATAAGTTTTTACCATCTTTTCTTCCTTGTTGACTTCTTTAGGCAGCCGAAGGAAAGCTGAGTAGATCAATGATTCTCGAACGGTGACTTGGGGTGAGTGGATATCATTTTGTTCACAATAACCTGAAATTCTCGCGAAGGTCTCTTGATTCTTGGGGAAACCAGAAATTCTTATATCACCTTCAATGTAACCGCCTGTCTTTCTTCCTGCTAAAACATCCATTAAGGTTGTCTTTCCAGCTCCACTAACTCCCATTAGTGCAGTCAGGACTCCAGGCCTAAAGGCACCAGTTACTTCCCTAAGCAATTGGAGCTTGTCCTCTGTTACTCCTTGTTCCTTCATTTCCTGTTGATATCAATAAAGTTCATCGTTAACGCAGTTTTTTTAATTGGCCACCTTTTCTAAAACTTGATTCAAAAGCCACCATGTTCTATAGTAACACTAATAAACTACATGATTGTTCATCACAGTTTTAGGATGACAAAGAGTGAAAGAGGAATGAGATTCTTACAGCGGGCATATCCACAAAGTAATTCACGCTGTCAAAGGACATAGCGAGAGGAGTGAACGGAAGAACCATTCCTCTCTTTGGAGCAACACCTCTTGCAGCCTCAAGACTTGAATCTTCATTTCTACTAAGCCCATTGGCATTCCCTCGACTGCTCATTCGTCGTATTATCATTTCTCCTGAAATTAAATTTGAATCCCATGTGAGAAACTATGGCATTGCCATATTAATTATTGATTCTGAAGTATTGAGCTGTTAGATCATGTTTCTTACTTGTATTGTTTCCATCAGCAGCAGATAAGGATCGGGGTAGTGAATCTCTCTTCGACCTGGTTGGTCTGAGTCTTGGTGCTTCCTTAGTTTCTTCTTGGTCATCTTCCATATTCATTGCCGCTTCTTTGGATATTATAGCTTGTGGCTTTCCAGGAGCTATTATATTTGAAAAAGATTTTTTTTATAAAAAATAAATAAATAAATAAATAGAAAAGAAAAGAAAAGGATTTGAAGAGAAAATTTCATAGTCCACCCCGAATAGAATGTTATAACTTACCATCTAAGTACATGAGAGCAAGGGTAAACAGAATGTTGAATAGAACTGCAAATCCCAGAATAGCTGCAGCACCAATCCAAAACCAACTTCTGTCTGGGGAGACATCAAAGCTATTTAGCACTGCCACGCCTAACCTAGTAGCATTGTCTGAAGCCTGCAAGGCAATCAAATTTTCTTAGGAACTCGTTTTAATGTATGAAACAAATGTCTAATTAGTAATTACCCTTCTACTTTATAAATTAATTTGCTTAATTGTGAAGTGTGGAGAAGTAGTATAAGTTGCATACCAATTTGTTCATCCACCTTGGAGCAAACATCTCATTAACGGTCAAGGCATTGAAACCGTAGGCCATAGGCGAAATCCAATAACCCCACGCCCACCATTTAGGAATTTCACCTGTCACAAACGAAGCAACTTTCTATAAGTAAATTTAATCTAATAAAAACAGATCTCTTACTGAAATAAAACAACTTTTAGAGGTAATGAGAACTGTTGTGAGAGGGGTCATGTTTTCAGTTACACAAATAAACATATACTCTAAAAGCTTAAGCTGTACAGGGGCCCTTCACGTGTGGCCTTCTTTTGGTTCAACATGTATACCAATTTTAATTATCAGGGTGACTATGAGCTTTGAATTCGAGACATTTTGGCTTTGATCCATGCTAACCACCAACTACGCTAAAAACTTAAACCATTGAAAGAGTGTAATTTTATTATTTATATTCCCCAACATATTGAATGTAAAACATTCAGTTTCAAGATTTTTTAGTTTTGCTCATTTCATCAATTAATGAAGGCATACTGTTGAATCACATAAAGCTTGCTATGTTGGCAACTTCTTATCATCTGTTTGTTTATTTATTTATTTTTCATTCACCACATTTTCAATTAATTATCTTTGGACTCGAACTAACCTTTAGGCATGATGAAACCACCAAGCATGAACACAAATAGGAGAACGAGAGTTCCACCGGTGTTGGCAATGATCATCGTCCTACAGACTCCAGCAATGAGCCTAAATAACCCAGCAGCCATTTGTTGAATCAAAAATATCACCAGTAGTTGCTTGAAGAACCTGAAAATGGAAGAAGGAGAATGTTAGATTCACATTTTTCTCAGCACTACCAGGTAGGCTAAATAAGAAAATACTGTGTCCAATGCAATGACACTAGGCTACCTTTTTCAGAGTCGTCGTTATTGATGGCTTTTATGCCTAATCTGTATCATTTTGGTTTCTTTGGCAATCCATTTTCGTAACACTTATAACTTGTCTTTGCTATAGAAATCTAAGTTCAGGTTATACACATTTCGGCCTCATTCAATTCCATTGTTAGTCTCAATGAAAAAGTGTTTCAGTTTATCTAAGTTCAAGTTCATGTTAGGTTACCTGCTAGCTTCAGGTGCAAATCCAATGGTGTAATAGGTCAGGATCATCCAAACAATGGACTCAAACACAGAGATTGGTATTCGGAGAAGGAATGTTGGGAGGGTGAAAGTCCAGGCTGGGTGGAAGCGAAGATCTCGGTGCTTATAAAACACTGGAAGTCTCTGCATGGTGAGTGAGAGTTCAGCAAAGCCATTGAACATGTTGATGATCATGGAGAACAAGAGTGCACCGATATAAAGCGCGCCATCCGCTTCATTCCTTGTGTGCATTTCAGTCCTCAGAAACACCGTGGACGTGATGAGGGCCACGATGATGATCTGCACAGTCTTGAATATATATACAAATGAGTTTCTCTTGATTAGTAGCCATTCCTTGTCAAATGAGGCCTTAAGGAGCTCCTTCTTTGAGACCAAGTAGTTTTTGAAGACGAGAGCGGCTTTGTGACTCCGGGTCTTGTCGTAGGGCACCGAGAGCTCGTTCTCGAGCCGCAGGCCGACGTGGAACCGTTTGAATCGTTGGGCAAACTCAGTGACTGATATGTATTTGTATGGTTTGTTTCTGTCTGCCCAGTACTGCTCTTGGTCCTTCCTTGAGGTAACCTGTAACAAATTTCACACATTATTTTTGACACTGCCAATTGGGTTGGGCCGAAATTGCCCTACTAATTGGATCACAATATTGCTTTGTACCTTTTTCTCTTGGACACTCTCTACGCTTACAGGTTAAGATAGACCCAATGTAGTTCCTTTTGCTAATACCTATATTGTCCCATTTATGTAGTACTACTATTTAAGATTTTACAATTTATACATGTTCATTATCTTTTAAACGGGCCTGGATCAGGCCCGTTGCAACTTTGGCAAGCTTGGGCCCAAGAATCCATCCGGACCAGTACTCGTCTTTTTAAACAGGGTTTTTTATGTTATTTTATTTTATTTATTTATTTGTTTGTTTTGTTTTTTTGTTAGGTTGTTAGCTCTGGAAAATGGAACTTTTAAATTGGAAATAGAATTTAGTGGAATACGATTTTTTTATTTATTTTATTTATTATTATTATTTTTTGATATAGGAGATTATGTTGCACTAGCTATTGTATTAAAATGACTCCAACCATGAGATTTTACCTCTTGTAAGAAATCAGCGGTCCCTTTTCGTTCTGGACACTTGAATCCACATGTCTCAAAGAACTCGACTATGTGGTCTCGTGGGCCCTGGTAGACAATCTGGCCTTCTGATAAGAGTATGATATCATCAAAGAGATCGAACGTCTCTGGAGCCGGTTGGAGTAGGGACATCAAGATGGTGGCCTCAGTGAGGTGCACAATCTGCTGCAAACACTTCACTATCTGGTATGTTGTGGAGCTGTCTAGACCCGTTGATATCTCATCCATAAATAGGGTTTTTGTGGGCCCCACTATCATCTCGCCTGTATTAAATCAATATATTTTAGTCCCATCTCGGACCACGTTGATCTTTGAATTAATAATACAAAATGTAAAGACCGATCTTGCACAGTCACAACTATGAAGTGCAAGCAATTCAAAATTAAATTAATCTCATGAACATAGTGTATTAACATAGGGTCTATAAATTAATCCATTATTTATAGACCCTTCAATATTGATCCAAATCGTGCCATGTATGTTATTATTCAATGAGATAAGATTGATGAACCACCAACAGGTAGGATGTGGGGTATATATATGACTATGTCACAAGTTGGATCTACACACAATCGTGTATGTGTCTTGTGTGCAGTGTGTGGTTGGTTATGCATGTAGACAAAGTGCATTAGGTCATTGGAAATTGTTTAATGTGACAATTTTGAATCTTCTAAGACATTTTGGGTGACTGATTTGGAATGTCGCCAAAATTCGATTTTATTATCTTTTATGTCGGCCCCATGATGAATCTTATCAGTGGAGAAATTATTATTTGATTCTCACGTCCTAATTTGATTATTAAGTTTTTTTTTTTTTTTTGTTTGTGATAACTCAGAGTATCCGAAACTTCGCCCTGATTAATCTCCGAGGGTCTAGGAAGGGTTTCTCCCCACCCCGAGTGAAGTAAGTCGCTGAGTATGGCAGCGGAGTTATGGCTCCAAATTGTCGTAAGTTTTTAATAAAAATCGAACCCGACCTTAATACTAGTAAACACTCAATCTCAATCTCAGATGACTCAGTCGATTATTAGTTGACACCTAAACAAAATATGTTTAAAATATATAAATTTTAATTATTTAATTATAAAAGTGTAAGCTTTGTTTAGACCGAATAAAACTTATATATTTGTAATAAATTTATACATATCAAATAATAATTGACCGAGTCCGATGATCCAAAACCAAAGCAATAATTTCCCCTTATCAATCACCTTCCACTAGGCTAAGGGGGTTGGTAGTTCAACTTTAGGATTTGGTCAAAATAGATGCATTGAAGCTTTACTTTTCAAATCAAAGTTTGCTACCAAGCTTTGCACCCTTCCCTTTTAGAGAATGACGACAAAACCCTAGTAGGGTTCCACATTTGATCTTTAGATGCTCTACTTTGATTTTAAAAATTGAAATGATAGATTTACTAAAATTATACTAGGTTCCGATACAACAAAATAAGAAATAATTTATTTGTTAAAAATTACAAAATAAAAAAAATAAAAAATAAAAAGAGAGAAGAAGAATTACCTGTTGTTACACGTTTCTTTTGTCCTCCTGATATTCCTCGTTGCATTTCATCTCCGACAATGGTGTCGCGACAAATATCAAGTCCTAATATCTATAAAACAAAATCATTGGGATTTTAATTAGCACACTTATTTATTTTTATTTTTTGGTGGGTGTTTAATTAGTACAATGCCTAGTTACCACAGTTCTATTTTGGAAAATTAAAAAGTTAATTTGAGGGTGAATTTGTAAATTTATTCCGAATAAACAGTTGTTCACCAACCAAAGCAAAAACAAAAAAAAAAAAAAATACAGACCAAGAAGCCCCAATCTAGGTAAGTTGAAAATGTTGACTCAAGAATATAAAATCAAATCAGAAGTGTTTCGGGAGTGGGGTTGGTGGTGACTTGTCAACACCTAATTTGCCAAAAAGTCATAAAGGAACTATTTGGGTCCCATTTAATTTCAACCAATCTCGGAAATTAAAAAATATAAAACATATTATGAATCTAAAGTTAGTATAGAAATTAATCACCCAAAAAGACGCTACGTTAGAGAGTTGATGTCCCACAACGTACCTTGAGTGTGTAGTCAGTAATAAGACTGCTCTCAACCCCTTTCATTGCAGTTGCCTGAAAATACAAAAGTAGTATAATGTATGAATTACGGACTTAAAATAAAAAAAAATAAAAAATAAAAAATAAAAAAACAATCTTATACGTGAGAAAAGAAGAATGTGTTCATCTAATTCTCATCCGAATCCGTACTTTCACTCGACATGTTACATAAATTTGCATTTACATACCTTCATGAAAAGGTCTACCTCCGCGTCAGGAAAAATTCCGGCAGCTTTCTCCCTCCTTGCAAGTTCAGTTAGGAGTTCTACATAATTCATTTATTAGTAAACAAAAATAATGGATCATATGTAAAGGTGTTACATTGTCGACATTAATAAAATTAATTAAGTACCATATCGAGAGCCGACCCCTTGGCAGCGTGCGGAGAAATCTAGGGTTTCTTTCACAGTCATTTCTCCTACATGAACATCATTTTGGCTAATGTATGCTGATGTCCTCAGTGGTACAAATTCGTTGAACCTATACCCATTGTAAGTTACATCTCCTCTAACCTGTTCCACATTCCCAATATATATATATATATATATATAATCACCATATAATAATATTGGATATTAATTATTGATATATATATATATATATATAGATATATTTGACGTATTATAAGAGTAATAATCAACCTTTAAGCTTGGGTCCAACTTCCCAGCCAGCGCTAACAAAAGAGTTGTTTTTCCAGATGACGGTGGACCTAACAGAAGGGTCATTCTGTAACATAAATAATTGATAGTTACATAATGTCAACACTATAATTAATTAAACGTACTCACCATATCTCTATATATATCCTCTATATATATATATATATATATATATATGGAGAGAGAGAGAATATATAGTTGTTTGAAGGAGTGTAGCAATTGGCTAACAAAGTAATGAATTTACCTTGATGGTTTTATAATTCCAGAGGCATCTTTTAGAATTGTAAGCTTTGTTCTTTCGGCCAATGTGATCCCCAGCATACCGATAGCCGACTCACCAATATTTCGGGCAGCATTTGTTAGAGTTGGAAGAGCTCTATTGCCGATATAGCAGTCGGCTTCAATGGTCAAGTGGTCAAACCGAACTTCTACTGTTGGAAGGTTGATCCCAACCCTGCAATCACAACAAAAATAAATTAATTATAAAAAATTCAAAACTTTAACCGACAAATCAAGTCTCACAAAGATGGTGGGGCTCCACTCGTCCAGTGTAATAAGGTATATTATTATCGATTCAATACTTTTTAAACGGATTAAATTCAGTAATCGTCTATCAAGCGTGATGTGTAATGACACGACTAAGTCTAAGTCATTATGAATTTTTTATTTATTTTTCCGGAACGGATTCAACTTGGGTTTGAAGAAAAAAAATTAATGATTAGTAAACGAGATGACATTTAGGTGTTTTGAGGTGGACAATTAATGAATTGATCAAGTAATTTGAGTAGAATATTACAACTATTTTATTTTTCTAGATGTACAGATTGTCAATTTTGATTCCCATAGAGTAAAACAGGTGCTTCAAAATATTCGAGGTCAGCTGTTTGTTAGTATTTGTTTTTAACGATAACGATAACAAGAGACAATATAATTTAGAATATGTTCATCAGAGACATTAATTATAATAATGTAGAATTTGTTCAACAAATCTACCAATTTGTACTTGCCTATATTAAATAAAGCTCAAGAAAACACATCATCCTGTAATAAAAAAGTTTGGTTTAACAATTTTTTTTTATTTTACCTCTGACAAAAAAAAAAAAAAAAAAAAAAAAAAAAAAAAAAAAATTCACACAACTACTTTGTGAAGATATAAATTAGGATACATATATTTTTGATAATTTTGTTTTTTCTAATGTAAAAAAGTATCACTAAACTACAGTTTTTAATGACAATTTTATTGTTATGGCATTAATTTAGTTGAAAATTTGAAAAATAAATTTTTTTTTAAAGAAAAGTATAAAAAATTTGTATGAAATTAGCCAAAAAAGATAATAATAATAATAATAATAACAAATTAAGTCTGCACCAAAGACGAATTCTGGAATAGTGGGGATTGTAATGATTTTGTGACTTCTTTTGGATCAACTACTTGTTTTGTGCTCCAAGCAGTAGCCATTCCGTACTCTTTTTGGCTTGCTTGTTTGTACAAATTTAAATAAATAAATAGTGTTTTAGCGGTATTGGATTCTTGACTTGGTTATGGATTCAAGCAGGTTGTACGTGTAAATAATGAGTGGAAAGACAAATTCATTTGCGAAGTATATAGCCTTTCAAGGTATATATATGAACAATTATTGTGTGACGAAGGGGTATATAAATAAATAAAAAAAGAAAAAACAAAAAAGAAAAAAGAAAAAAGAAAAAAAAAGAAGACTACTTACTTGTCAATTCGATTTCTAAACTTGTTCAAGAACTTCTCATTATCTTCTTCAGCAACCCTGAAAAACCTATCAATGAACTGCTGTCTATCATTGATGTCAAGCTTCCTAACATCAACCTCCTTATGCTCCACCTTATTACTAGTGTTATTGTCTATAAAAGATTTGATCACACTCGTTCTTAACCGATCATATGTGGGCAACTTCTCTATTGCTGCCCACGTCAGAGCTTCTTCATCTTCATCACCATGACTACGTCTGCTGCCCTGGTTTCCACTCCCAAACGCATCCGCTACGTTCCAACTCCTCCTACTCATGCTCCCGCTCGCTCGCCGCCACCCACCTACCACCGCCTTCTGGTCTCCCTCCATTTCCTTTATCTATCTCAATAATTATCCATAATTTACACCAATTACAACATATATATATAAACACATTAATTCATCACAAAAAAAAAAGATTACTTACTTAATTGGTTGAGAGCTGGTTCTTGAATGATGGATGAAATTGAGAGAGTTTTAAAGTGAGAATTAAGTACAAAAAAAGAGAGGTTTTGGGGTTGGTGGAGGTGTGAAAATATTCTCAAAAGGGTTGAAGAGAGAGTTTAGACAAGTAGTGGAGGGTTGAGTCGATGGTTGAAGGAAGTTTATGGGTATTATATAGTATTATAATATGTGTGGGAGTGTGTGTGTGTGTGTGAGAGAGAGAGAGATATGTAGCTAGGTACTACCTGCTGAGGTGTCAGTTGGAGAATTTTCCAAAAAATGGGAGAGAGAATTCAAAGATGATCAGCTTGTCAAGCGCCACCTCTTTATAATACAAGTCAAATTCGCCGGAATCTGACAGTTACGGCCCTATTCCTCTCTTTATTCAATGGACTGGGAGTCTGGGACAAGTTGGTCAATTGGACTCAAACCACCAGTTAGCCCCATCTGCCTTAATTGGTACTTGTCAGACGCGTATCATTTCGGATCTGAATAATAAAATGAGTACACGTAAGTTGGACGTTAATTTCACTTCATAGTGTTAATTTTCGAGTTGAATGGCAAAATAATCAATGTTGTGCCCCTCTAATTGATATCACTTCCAAACAAAAAAATAAATAAATAAAATCATGTTGCCATCACTCCAAAAATATCTTTACATGTTAAAGGTGTATTATTTTAGATCTGAAAAATAAAATAAATATACATGAGTTAGATGTTAGTTCCACTTAATAATTTTAACTTTTGAATTAGATGAGCGGATGACAAAATAATCCATGTTGTAACCCCTCTAGTTGGCATCACTCCAAAAAAACAAAAATAAAAAATAAAAAATCATGCCGTCATCATTCCAAAAAGATCTTTAAATAATGGGCTTAACACAAAATGCAACAATGGCAGCATTAACCCCAAAGAGTTGGCTTAGCGATAAAAATAATTGGGCTTTGGTGCTTATTTGGGGCCATATCTCCGCTGCCATATTCAGCAGACTTACCTAATCAGAATGGGGAGGTGCCCTTCTTGGGTCCTTGAAAATTAATCGTGGCGAAACCTCAGATACCCCAACTTACTCCGCTCAGGCTATATTTGGCAAGCATAGAATTCCATGCCCCAAAAAACAGTGATATTTAGACCACATTCATATTATTTGTGATTAATAGAAAAAAAAAAAAAAAAAAATTTAATTTTTTTTGCTTCTCATATAATTGTTGAAAATTTAAAGAAAAAAAATTAAATTTGAGTAAGTATTCAAAATGATTTTGTTGATATCATGAATAGAATAAATTAAATTTGAGTAAGTATTCAACAGTATTCAAAATGATTTTGCTGATATCATGAACTAATAAAATTAAAGTTTCCAAATACCCACATCTTCTCTACCCTAACTGGTTGGGTTGAATAAATTACTATTAGAATACTGTTGTTATTCTGTCGAAATTTTGACAAAGCTAAAAAATTGACAGTGTTGTATTTCAAAATCACATTCTAAAAAGGGTTGCTAACTTGCTATGGCATTTTAAACCAAAACATACATTCTTAAAAATTACTTTTACATGCCTTCGATACCTGATAAATTGCATTTTCATTTTCTTTTATTGGCTTCTTTGTTATAATTTTTTCAAATTGTTTAGTTTTCCCGAAAAATTATTATAAATTACGTGAATATATGAAAATTGTGATTTTCAAAATTTTCAAAAACAACTGTTTTAATCAAATTTGCAGCAATTTTTGAACTTCAAAATAATCTAAAAAATAAAAATAAAAATAAAAATCATTTTGTCATCACTCCAAAAAAATCTTTAAATAATGGGCTTAATACAAAAGGCAACAATGTCCACATTAACCCTACGGAGTTGGCTTAGTGGTAAAGATATTTGGGCTTTGGTACCTTCTTAGCACCAGGTCTAATGTTTGATTCTCATTAGGAGCTTATGATTACTTGAGGCCATATCTTCGCTGCCATACTCAGCCACTTACCTGATTGGAGTGGGGAGGCGCCCTTCTTGGGTCCAATATTTTAGACCACTTTCATATGTTCGCATGTTAAGCCAAAATATTGCAAAAAACTTGGGGAAGGCCCCTTTTTGCTTCCAAAAATCTTATTTTCAAAATTCTTACAAAATTGATCAATTTATTTTTTAAAAATAATTTTTAGCACTTTTATTTAGTTCATTTTGATTCTGAAAATTTCATTTTGTAGCTCTTTCAAATCCATTAATTTTACCTAAAAATAAGAATCTTGGCAGTGTTACTATTTAACATAGTGCACATATTACTGCATAATTTTAATTACTAGTAATCATGTTCTACATGTTTAGGTGAACATTAATAATATGTCATTTTAGCTACATTTAAGTTCTGGTCACATCAATGGACAGAAGGTGCCCAATGCATTGGCCTGGATTGGTATTGTACCAAAATGTGGTAATAAAACATTTCAACTCATCAAAATTAATGAACTTTCTTCAATAGTTTTGGAATTTCTTATATCTTTCATGTGCATTCTCAAATCATTTTTAGCCTCAAAATCATTCTTGCAAACACTCCTTTTTTTGTTCAAAGAATAACAAATAATTAGTTTGGCATGTTTTAAAATTCACTAAAAAAAAGAAAATCCCTGCCCAAACTTTGTTCAAATTAGTATAGACTTAATTATAGGTTAAAACAACTATTTTAATAAAATTAATATAAGGTGTGGCGGTGTTGTTCGAGTAATAAAAATAGTCAGGCTTAAGTGTTTCCCACTCTATTGATCCTAGGTTTGATTCCCCCCTCCCCCAACTAATTATTGACGGTCTTGCATATTCAATTAAATCGAAAGGGAGAGAAAAAAGATAATTCATTCCATCTTTTTGTTTAGTTGGATTAAAAAGAAGAGAAGAGAGAGTGTTACTTATAAGGAAAGATTTGTAATTTAAAAACTTTTATGATAGCCTTATCTTTTTTAGAGAAAGAAAAATTTGTGAAGAAGGAAGAATGACTCATCATCTTCTTTTATCTTCTCCCCTAATCTCTTCTTTACTAAACAAAGAAAATGTGTTTCTTCCTTCCTAGCTTCCCTCCACCCCCTTCCTTCCCTCTTAACAAACGGAACATTAGTGTTGTCACATTTTTCATATTGAAACTAATCGTTTTAGGTTTATTAACTTTATTAAAGATTTTAAAAATATTCTCCCCACATTCATATTTCCCGTGCGTTAAACCAAAATATTGTCAAAAATTTTGAAAGTGCCATTTTTACTTTCAAAAATATTATTTTAAAAATTCTTACAAAATCAATCAATTAATTTTTTATAAGTACTTTTCAGCACTTTTATAGTTGATTTTGATTCTGAAAATTTTGTTTTGTAGCTCTTTCAAATCCATGAAATTTTACCCAAAAATAATAATTTGGCAGTGTTACTGTTTTACAGTGTACTTGCTCCATAATTTTAATCAATCATTAGGAATGTGTTTAGGTCAACATTATTATACCAAAATGTGGTAATAAAACATTTCAATGCATCAAAAATTAATGCACTTTCTTCAACACTTTTAGCATTTCTTATATCTTGTCAAAATTTATGGACATTCAAATCATTTTTAGCCTCACTTATTTTTGTTTAAAGCATCACAATCTATTAGGTTGGCATGTTTTAAAATTCACCAAAAAAGGGAAATCTCTGCCAAAACTTAGTTCAAATGGCAAAGATTTAATTATAGATTAAAACAACTATTTAATTTAAGGGCGAATTGCCAAAAAAAAAAAAAAACCCTTTTACTATTACTCAGTTGTGAAAAATCCCCCTTATAAATATTTATGGCAAAAAATCCCTCTCAACTATCTCAAAGGGGTGTTTTTAATTAATATCCGTTTAAGTAGTTATCTGAGGGAATTTTTGGACGAAATTACCCTTTAGCATATTATTTTTCTTCAAATACAAAGCTAATAGTAGATCGAGAAACCTAATTGTTGAAAATTTATCTTTCAACACTGCTTGGACAACATGATATAACACATGTAAAAAATAGTTGAAGCCCCATGAATACTCAGTTATATTCACTTAATCTATGACTTATTTTATTTATTTACTTTTTTTTTTTTTTTTTTTTATCCATCATCCATGTAATTGAACAAATCATTTACATGTAAAAAGTCTTATGTTTCCTTTGGTTTCTTACCATCTTAATCATGAGAATTAATATATATATATTAATAATAAGAGTGAGTAAACTTTATAGAAATTACCCCCTATGCTTCGTCCACATGGTATGCAATTTTCGAGTAGCAGGTGATGAAATCAAAATAATTTTCAAGTAGTAGGTGGTGGAATCAAAACAATATATATGATGAGATGATAAATGCATTTTTCTCAAACTAAATGACTTAAATGTCCTTTATAATTAGATTTTTATGAATTGAATTGACGGCAACGATGTCCTTTCGCATTAAAAGCGTTCATATTTTTAAGTTTTTAACTTGAGTACATCAACTACAACAATTTCATCTCAAAAAGTTATTTTGGGGTATTTAGTGTTCTCGAAATAAGATTTTTTTTTTTTTTTTTTTTTTTTACAAAAATTAGATTTGAAAAAAAAGAAAAGAAATTATGTTGCTTTTTAATTGCCAATTTTAGTCCACTTACCTTGCAATAGAATAATTTAATTAAGGAAAAGAAAGAATTTGGACTAAGCAGCAAATTATTAATTCTTTTAAAAATAATTAACTGTTATAATGGCTACTAAAGATCAAGTGCAGAGTTCTTGAGGTGTTTAATTTTTGCATCTTCTATTCCAACGTCATGGTGGATTTTCTCTCTCTCAATTTTATTTTATTAATTTTACATAGCTTATAATATGATTTTATTGACTTTCTATTTTTTGTTTTTTTTTTCGGGAATTTTTCTTTACTGCTTCACATACCTTGCTTGACAGAGAGAGAGAGAAAATAGAAAAGAAAAAAAAAAAAAAATTGTATGAAGAATAATCTTTTAAGGGGTAATTTCGTCTGAAAAATTTACTCAAACAATTACTTAAACAGATATTAGTTAAAAACACCCCTTGGAGTGGAGGGAAGTTTTTTTGCCAAAAATATTCGTAAGGGATTTTCGCAACTGGTTAATAGTCAAGGGAGATTTTTTGCACCCTTAATTTAATGATATTCTTTGAAATTTC